TTTTTTTTAAGGAAATTTGCTCCTTTTTTACTCATTTCCAGTCCAGTCTTTGCAATGGACCGTTTTCAGAGGAATTTCATTTTGTTTGTTAATCTACTTAACACTGACTTATAAATCACTCATAAATGCATCTAACGAAAGTGTTTTCTCTACACAGACAACTTAACAATGAACCTATGTTAAACTGTATGTTTAGGCACTTTGTTACTAGCAGCTTGTTGGAAAGCATATAAACTTTCCCATTTCTTTAGTTTAATATACAAAATAAATAAATAAAAATAAATGCCAAAGGTAAGATACCAGCAAGGTGATTCCCAAAGAGCTTTTTTCTTCTTTTTTTTTTTTTTACATATTCTTTGCTAAATATAACGAAATGAGGATTGCATCACGGGTTTTGCACTGACCTGTATATTTAATTTATAGACAGTGCAACTTTAAACCACTATCTTTCTACTTGCAATTATCTCTAAAAGCAACCATGAAGAAGCTTACAATCGTATTGGAGTGTATCAGAGTGTAAACATTTTGTCTGCCTATACGGGTGTCAAACTCATTTAAGTTAATGGGCCACATATATCCCATTTTGATCTAAACTGGACTATGCTAGAAAAACTATAATGTATAAACTAGCAAAGAATAATAACCTTGAGAGAACCATGCAAAATAAATCCAATTTTAATACATGTAAGTCTTTACATTCATTGTCATTAAATGCATCGATGACACATGACAGATCATATTGGATGAAGAAATAAGGATATTTCAGTATAAAAACTTGTATCCTGACTCACTGTAAGTGCAACAGGATTTTATGCATTTATGCTTTAAAATGTTTACTTTCCATTCATTTTTATTTCTCTGTAGCAACACTGGCCTGCATTAGCCGCACATTTTTATTACTTATAGACCTCATTGTAATCTGACCAATGAGCATATAATAAATAATTTATACAGTCATTGTCCTCGAACAGCTATCCAGTGGGCTGAATTGGACGCTCTGGTCCCGGGACTGCACCCCGGAACTGTGCGGCAGATATATTTGTGTCATTGTCTTTGAGGATATATGTATACAAGATT